AAATAAAAAATGAGAGAAACTGTTTTCATTTATTCATTTAGCTACTTGAGAAACTGATAATTAATGGGTAAATTTGTTCAAGTTTCTTCTGAGTTGACCAGAATCAATCTTTGTCCTCAACTAAGTGACTCTCTTTCCTGAGATGGACTTTACTCCATGTGTTTTTGTGTGGTGTGATGTGAGCCACTTCATGTCTGGATGAACAGGAGTCCTGTCCAGAGAAACGGAGTGGTAAACAGCAGAACTCCTCCTTTCTCCTCTTCATATCGAAGACTTTTCTGTGCCCAAGGTGGGGATGGCTGCTGTTGACCATAGTTAGGCAAAACCTTCACCTGCAAGCGTTCAGGTGAACTCCCTAGTTGTTGCAGAAACAGTCAACCTCTATTCAGTTGCCACGACAAGTTTAGCAGGGCAAGAGGGCTGGAATAGTTCATTTTAATTGTCTTACTAATTTAAGGCTTTTACAATGACACCTTTTGGGAAGGGAAATGCTAAGACAGTATTTCTGGCACTAGGCTAACTGCTCCCTTAGGCAATAAGGCCATGGATGAGGAATCAGACGCAGCTGCAAAAAGGGAATAAGTTGCACCTTTTATTTCCGAGGAGGAAATTGGTGTGACAGTTTTTTATGGAAACTCTTCATGATTAAGTTAGTGGCCAAAGTAGCAGGTGTTCAAGAAGGTGGCAAATGCTAGTTCAGTTCCAAAACTTGTTACAGCACTGCTAGGTAAATGCCATCGCTCTGTTCAGAAATGGTGCTGAAGCTGAGGGATGCTTGTGTTGCTGCTTTAAAATGTAACCACAGCATAGTCATGAAACAGCCCACGTACTGGAGATAACATTGGAGAAGTGATTGTTTTCATCAGACTGTCCCTTATGAAACCATGTCTTCTCTTTTAGGTGTAGTAAAATACTACTTTTTAATTGTTTTTGGTAGGGGGCCTCTGGTGGTCTAGTGGTTAGGGTGCAGGACTCTCACCGCTGCGACCCGGGTTCGATTCCCAGCCCCC